CCCTTTTCTGCTAATTATTATATATAGATTTTGATAACCTAATATTTAGTACATTGGAAAATGCCTGGTCATTCTGTAGATAACCAGCTTATTAGTTTTTTTTTATAAATGTCTACAAACTTATTCAGTACCTGGAACATCCATGGTATTTCAAATGTTGTCCTTGGTGGGAAAACTAAAAAACAAGGACTTCATTGACCATATTAATAATATAGATTTAATTTTCCTCACTGAAACTTGGTTTAACTCAAATATAGATGTTCCTGATTTCAGGTCTTTTGTCTCTGATACTGCAAAACCTCATACCAACTGGGCATGTTGCAAATCGGGTGGTATCACTCTACTAACCAGAACCAAATTTAAAAAATTTACTTCAATTGTTAAAAAGTCGAAAAATTTTCTATGGTGCAAAATATCAAAAGATGTGTTAAATGCAAAAAATTATCTATTTGTATGTGGTGTGTATATTCCACCAGAAAAGTCTGTTTATTTTGAAAATGAAATTTTTGATGAATTAGAAAATGATATTATACAATTTTCATCAAAAGGAAACATAATGATCCTTGGTGATTTTAATGCTAGAACCAATACACTTGAAGACTTTATCTCTAAAGATGGCAACAATTTTATAAATGACACTAGTGAAAATTGCTTGCAACCAAAAAACAGATTAAATTTCGACCACCAAATTAATAACCATGGTAAACAAGTAATCTATGTAAAAACTGTGACATGAAAATTTTAAACGGATGCACAAAAGGTGATTCCTTTGGACAAGCTACTTTCCATGGTAACAATGGTATAAGTGTAGTTGATTACATCATATGCGATCAGGAATTATTTAGAAATACTAATTATTTTGTTGTAAAACCACCAACATACCTATCTGACCATAGTCAAATTGTTACATGGGTTGGTATTGGTCAGACAAACAAAAAACCAGATAGCAATCCTGGATGTAATATTGAAATGACTAAATTACCAAACCAATACATTTGGGATAACCACTCTAAAAATAACTTTAGAGAATCATTAAGATCACAAGAAATGCAAAAGAAATTGAATGAATTTATGAACTCAGATTGAGAATTAATTAACAAAGAAAAAGACGAAAAAGATTGAGAATTAAAAAGTGCAAACAAAGAAAAATCACTAACGTTGCTCAAAAGAAATGGTTTGATAAAGACTGTAGAATCAAACGACATGATTTAAGGAAATTATCTAATTTAAAACATAGAGATCCTACAAATGTTAAACTTAGAAAAAACTACCACGATGCCTTGAAATCATATAAGGTAACCCTACAGCTGAAACAAAGTGAATGTCACAACAAAAAGATGAATGAACTAGAAACAGCTAGTCAAAATGATTTTAACCTTTTCTGGAAAACACTAAAGAACTCACCAAAAAATCGTGAATGGTACTCACATTTTGAACAACTACATTGTGATCACCATCTTAGTGAAGAACAAGAAAAAATTATCGGAAAATTGAAACAAAAGGAAAATTCGAAAAATCTCAATGAGCTTGATACGGAAATAACAATTGAAGAAATAATAAAAACACTAAGAAAATAAAATCTAAAAAAGCTGCACACTCAGATAAAATCAACAATGAAATGATAAAATTTAGTGTTGATATCCCCTGCCAATGGTTTTATAAAAGTATTCAAAACAATGATGAAATCCGGAAAGTTCCCAACTTTATGGTGTGAAGGACTTATCTCACCAATTTTTAAATCAGGGAACAAATTAGACCCAAGTAAATACCGAGGAATCTCTATAGTCTGTACCTCAGTTGACAAAGGTCGGCAAAGATAGAAGCTGAATTTTGCTCAATAAATTCTGTGGTAAAACCCCAAACAAATCAAAGTGGAGGCCACTGTCAAACAAAACAACAATAATACGCCACTGACAAACAACAATAATACCAACCAAAGCAACAAATACCAATGCTAAATCTCTGTGGATAAGATCAAAACTTAAAACAATTACGAATGCCTATTTCAAAAATATTTAAAGTGGAAGTCAAGTCCATAATGTAAACAAACCAGCGGTTGCTGTTTGTTTACATTTTAAAGGGTATGAGCAACAGAAATTTTATTGCTTCATCTGAAAGAGCATGAAAAAATAAGCCGATTGGCCGTTTAATGCTCTAATCTATCTCATCTGGTTCCGAAGTTATACGCAAAAATGTGCAAAATATAAATTGCTGATTCAGCACAACGTGTGACATCATTAGTTGGGTAAGTATGTTTATTGAATAGTAAACTGAAGCATAGCTCAGTTATTATTGGCTCAAATCAAATGAAATTTTGCATACAGATAGTACATGATGAGACACATGAGAAAATAATCTAATTTTGTTGTCAAGGTAACACAGTCGTTTCCAGGTCCCTTACACTGATTTTGAATAACTAGTTGCATTTATCTATGTGTGTGTCATTTTCGAATTATTATCATGCAAGTAAACTTTTGGCATGCATAGGTATGGTACACATACTTCTGATATTATTTTATTCTTATAAGTACCATGAATAAAGCTGTTTTATAAAATTGGCGCAAGGGGCCTGGGAACGACATTGTTACCTTGACAACAAAATTAGAAGTGTTTTTCAATGCGTTTCATCATGTACAATCAGTATGCAAAATTTCATTTGATTTGGGCCCATAATAACTGAGCTATGCTTCAGTTTATCAGCAACTTATATTTTGCACATTTTTGCACATAACTTCTGAACTAGATGAGATAGAATTCAAAATTAAACGAGACTTACCTGTAAGTTGATGTTTGATTTGGATTCTGTGAGTCATTGGTCGGGAGCAAAGGAGTCATGTGATTATATGAGAAAGCGCGCGAACCGGAAGATCAGTTTTTAACCAGATCGTACTCGTACCAATACATGGGTCGGGTTTCAACACAATTGGGTGGGCACATGACTCCTTCGCTCCCGACCAATGACTCACAGAATCCAAATCAAACATCAACTTACAGGTAAGTCTCGTTTAATTTTGAATTCTGTTTCATCATTGGTCATTGGTCGCTACGGAGTCATGTGATTATATGAGATTTTAAAGCAGTACGAGTACAATAACCAATACTCAGTTCAATGAAAGCCAATGACAGGCAAATTTTCATTATAACAAAACCCAACCATGAACTGCAAAACACGTCTTACAATATACTGTACATTAGGTATATTAAGCCCTATTTTGTAACAACAAGTTGCCATAACTCTCTTTGGCTATTGGTTTTAAATAGTACTTTGCAAAGGTTGATTCCTGAGACCATCCAGCATTTTGCATAATAATGTCAATCGGTATGTTCATAGCTTTGGCTGCTGAAGTAGACACTGACCGAGTGCTGTGTGCTCCAAACTTGGCAATGTCTATACCGGCCAGTGCTAGAGTGGTTTTTAACCAACGGCTGATGGTGTCGGCGGACACTTCTTTATACGGTTTCTGGACGCTAATAAATAATTTATGCTGATTGCCTCTCAATAGCTCTGTTCGTTTGATGTACTCTGAAATATGTGCAACCGGGCAAAGGTTTCTATCCAATGTGTACGACTTAAACTCAACAGAAGTCAAATGTTTGCCTGGTCGTGAGGTTTTAAGCAATGACTTTATAACAAATGTACACTTGTTTACACTTAACTGCATTGTGCTGATATCCAGTGCATGCATTGTTTGCCGACGTTGCCCCGACAACAAGGCGAGTAACATTACAACTTTATAGGTGAGCATTTTAAATGTCTGTTCCTCAGGCGGACCCAAGCCAGATAAGTAGTCCAACACCACATTCACATCCCAAGTCTCCCCATAACGTGGTAGAGATGGTCTTGTCTCGAATACACCCTTCATGAAGCGGCTTACTAGTGGGTGAGTTCCAAATACTTCACTGTCCGATACCATAAGTGTAGTTGATAATGCACTCCTAGCTGTATTTAGAGCACTATACCCAATACCTTCCTTGTAAAGTTCTGCTAGGAAATTTACTCCATCTTCTATAGTTGCTGAAAGTTGATCCATTTTCCTTGAATTACAGTACTGTAGCCATTTATTAATGTATGGTGTGTATTGTCTTTGTGTACTCTTCCTCCATGATGCCAATATGACGGATAAAGCTGCTTCTGATAGTCCTTTATTTTCGAAGGCTTGCCTGAAACATGGCACAGTAGTAGCGTTAATTTGGGATACAGTGGGTGTACAAGGTCTGGTTTGGTGGGTAATTGTAACATTTTCTTGTTGTTCGGGAGAACCACTGGATTCTGGATGACCATGCGCATTAAATATGGCCACCAGGGTTGGGTTGGCCAATTTGGGACCACAATCAGCCCGGTACTCTCCTCCTCTCGAATTTTTTGCAAGACTAATGGTATTATGCTAAAAGGAGGAAATGCATAAAATAAGTATGAATGCCATGAGATTGTGAAGGCATTAACAGCCTCAGGATCAGGCTGGTAAGCAATAAAAGGTTTCAATTTATAATTTAATCGGGAGGCAAACAGGTCAATAACTGGTTTTACCCCTAACCTCTGGGTACCCTGTTGAAATATTTCTGGGTCTAAGGCCCATTCAGTTTGATCTCTAGCTTTCCTAGATTCAGCATCAGCTGCCTCATTTTCTTTGCCTGGTATGTGTGCTGTAGTTAAGAACACCCGATGTATAATACACCAGGTCCAAATTTCTCGAGTTAAGTTGTTGCGATTTCTAGAATGGCTGGTACCCATTTTACCTATGTCTGATACCGCCGTCATGTTGTCTATTCTAACACATACATGTTTACCCAGCAACTGTGTCTGAAAAGCTTTTAGAGCAAAAAATACAGCTAGCATTTCCAAAAAATTTATGTGGTGGGTTGCTTCAGAGGGAGTCCATCGACCCCCGATGGTGACCTTGCCTAAAACACCACCCCAACCTTGATTTGATGCATCGGTAAACAGAGTTACTTCAGGCTGTGAAAGGCCAATAGGTTTAAACAGGCTGTCAGCTGATTTAACCCACCAGTGCAAGTCATCATATGATGCTTTTGACAATTTCATATGTTTATCAAAATTTCCTTTATTTAGTTTTAGTGCCTCAGTTTTGTCCATGTCAAGGTCTCTAAAATGTAAAGGTCCGAATTGCGCAGCTGGGAAATTGGATACTAGTAGACCCAACACTGACGCCACCTGCCGAATAGTTGGGGCAGCATTTTGTATAAGTTCTGTGCATAAAGCTTTTATTTTTGCCACCTTATCTTTACTGGGGTAAACCCTCATTTCTACAGAATTAATTGTAAAACCAAGAATGGTCATCTGTTGTTTAGGTATCAGGGATGATTTGTCAGGATGGATCACAAATCCTACAGAATCAAACAATTTTGTTGTGTCTAACACATTACTTGCACAATCATCATAATCGTCACCTTGAAGATAGGAATCATCAATGTGACTGACAGAAATATGACCTAGCTGTCTTAAGTATGAATTAATTGGTTTCAACAGCTTTGTAAACTTTCTAGGACAAAAGGCCAAGCCATTAGGGAAACAAGTAAACTTATACAGTTGCCCTTTCCAATTAAATTTTAAATACTTTTGATGTTCTGGATGTATTGGCACTGAATAATATGCATCCTTCAAATCTACTGAAGCCATAAAGCAGTTGGGCTTAACCATGTTTACAATGGTAGAGAAGGACTCCATTTTAAAATGTTTGTATTCGATAAACTTGTTTAGAGATTTGAGGTTTAGGATCATTCTTGCTGACCCATCCTTTTTTGCTGTTGTAAAAATAGGGGAAATATATTCCCCCTTTTCATGTTCCGTAAGAACAACGACGCCTTTCTTAAGGAGAGTTTCAATTTCTACCTCAATTGCCTGTGCTTGTATGTGATTATATGTTCTCTCCTTAGGAACAAATAATTGAAAGGGCTTTTGCGAAAATTCAAGTTTTTGCCCCAATACCATGTCTAAAATCTCAGCGTCTGAGGTAATAAACATCCATTCGTTGTGAAATTCACGAAGTCGACCTGCGTTAAAGCATGCGACTTTATTTTGAAAATATGTTATAAGGGAATTACAAGTCGAAGTATTTACCTGTGTAATGGCGGGAAACGTCGTTGTTGTAGTTAATGCTGGGCATGCTGGTTCTTCTTCCTGGCTTGGAATTGAGGCTTGTTTTGGTAGGGGCGATAATTGTTGCCCCTGCCTTGCCATAAAAAAGCCTTGCCGTTATTACTATTAGGAAATGATTTCCCTTTTTGACGGGATTTTGAGGTGTCAAAATGGCGCCTAGGAAAGGCATTCTGGCCGGCTTGACTCTGGCTGCTCGTAGCTTCTTGGCTGATTTTATTCGAAGCCTTTATGCTGGTTAACCGGGACTGCAAGTCATCCCCAAAGAGGAATTCCGTTATCGGTGTTTGGGACGAACATAAGGATGAATATTCCTTGTTTACGTTCGGTTTTATCAGCTCACGGCGACGCAGCAGGAGCTCGACATGAACGTGACCGAGCATTGCCAAGGCGTCAGTATTGTTGGTCACGAGGTCGGCAAGTTGTTGTTTGAGTTCAGCGTCTGAACTTATGTTTGCTCTGATATTCACAAGGGAATCAGTAGATTTAGTTAGGGCAACCCCAACTTTGACGAGTGTTTTTTGAAAGTTGACCAATTTAAGGTCTGCACCTCGAGCAGTATGGTTGAGCTTTGACCAAATCTCAGGGTTTACTTTCGGCACAGCGAGCTTCTCGCAATTGTCTGGCCGGTCATATTTTCCCATCTTGCCCTTCAGTTTGGGCTCTTCCAACTTTGAGGACCAACGCTGATTTATAATATCTGCCAGCTTCTGGCTAACCTTTGGTCCTGTCGTAGCTTCATCAGCGAACTCCTGAGCTATCTCGCTCAATAAGTCATCCTCAGCTACTGAGGGGATTGAGTTTGGCGCTTCGCCATTTTGGCCGCCTTCTGTTTGCGGCACGATAAGCTGCTCCGAATCTGAGAGTTCCACTTCTGCGTCAGAGTGTGGACTATCACTCTCAGTTTCTTCAGCAACTCGGAGTCTTTTCGTTGGTCTTTCCTTGTCAGTTTCGACCCGAGAAAGACGTTTGAGAACAGATCTCAAATCCTCGCCCATGCTCTTAACCATAGCCTTGAGGTTTAGATTGTCTTCGTCTTTAGAACTGTCTTCTTGCTCGTCTTCACCGGCTAATAACAAAGCTGCTTCTCGCTCCTCCGAAAGGGCGTCCCTTTCAGCAGAGTTAGTCGCAGCCATAGTCACGGATGAAGGATTTTAGTCGTTTTAAATATCACTCTGGTTTTCTTTGAACTGACCTTCGCAAGGATCTTGCACAACTGATCTTCCGGTTCGCGCGCTTTCTCATATAATCACATGACTCCGTAGCGACCAATGACCAATGATGAAACAGAATATAACGTGCGCCAGCAATTTCTCTGCAAAGCGGCAGCAAATTTCCCAAGTCCTGCACCCCCCTGTTTTTACACAAATATTTCACTATTTCAGAATTTAGAGGTTTTCGGTTGTTTTTGAGCTAGAAAATCTTTCCCTCGCACTTTACTTGTTTTACTACGTGGAGGAAAAGTGCCGTTTTGTTTCGTTTGTTGATGCAACAATTCAATATCAAGAAAGATTAACTATTTTTTCAAGGTAAGATTCGTCAAACTATTTTTACTTTGTAGAACCTTGCTAGTTGCTAGATATAAAATGACTCTCGAAAATGAGTCAAATGACTATCATATAAGTCAAAAACTCATGCTACTATATATATATATATATATATATACAGCAAATATTTCAATAGCAGACACATGAACCGGGGTACGGACATGTAAATCCTGTTTATAATGGTTGAAAATTGTGGACATGAAATTATGTTGTTTTGTGTTTTTTATTGCCAGTTTTTAATAATTTATAATAATTGTGGTTGTTCACATGCTCACACGGTCGTACAGATTATATATGGTGTGAATCAGGATTAATATATAGATAAGCACAAAGACAGAGAGTGTGGGACAGAGGGAACAAAATACCCAGGACCTGAGAGTGTTCAAAGCATGCAGTTAGCAAAAGTTGGATAAGCATGATTGCTTGCCTATGATGATGTGTTTTAGAGATAAGATATGGTATAACTGAAACTATCTTTTGAGTTAGATTTAACAATCTCTCTCAGTAGGTTTAGCAGCAAGTTATAGTCCAGACACTGCACAGACTTCATGTCCTGTGAACAAGGCTGCATTGCATTCCCCCACATTGAACAAGTCTCACTGAGCTTGGACAAGCAAGTCCTACTTTTGCCAAGCTTTTTGTAGCAGTGTTTATATATGGGGTTGTGCAGCAGTGGTGGCCACTTATTGTGGGGGATTTAGATTGCCAGATCCATATGACCATGCACTTCATGTTGTTGGATATCGTAGTTCTTTAAACTTTTTTGCCTTAACCCATGGAGCACCATGCAGTGCTCTCCCCTTGACAAGTAAAATTGTCTGGCATTAGACAGATTGTGTAAAATAATCTGGTGTTTGACAGAGTAAGATTAACTAAAGTTGGGCACATTGGGTATGCAGATAGTTTTATTTATATTCCATTGAGTGGCATGAGCACTAGCTCCAAGTGACGAGTAAAATAGTCATGCATAACCATGCAGAAGATTGTCTGATTAACCCACTGAGTGGCAGTGCTCTCCCCTAAAGTACATTAGGGTGCATTGCCACTTAAAGGGTTAACATATATGCAATACATATTATATTTTTGTTAATTACTAAAGATGTGTAATAACATGATTGTGGTATAACAATGATCTGTTTAATTAATAATTTAATACAGGTACCAGAAGTGATGGCACAGGATGCCAAAATGGAGAAGAACAAATTGAAGTTATGGCTCAACTCTTTTTTATTGACAATAAAGAGTACTACACACAGTCACATTTAATTTTTTAACACTACAGTACATTAAATCTAAATGTACATCTTTGTGTCTAAATGTAGTATGTACATGTTTGTACAATTGTATAGCAGGGACTGAGAGAGCAGAAAAGAAAGTTAGTTATTATATTGTATTAAAATATATTCAAAGTACCAACAGCAACCTTTTATCAGATTAATATAACACGAGGTGATACCCAAGTGTTTTAATAGATGTGATGAAACATGTACTGTGAGTGTTTTGAATAACTTCAGAAAAATGTGTATTTGATAACTTCATAAATAAATTAAGATGAAGTTTATGTAAATCTGATTTCTTTTTGTTTTTACCCTCATGAATTTTGAAATGTGTCTTCCTTCAATGTCAGGTACCCCCAGGATTTGGTTTAGGGGCCATTCACAAAGGATGTCCAGCCAAATGATGGATTTTCGGACTCCCCCCCTTGTCCGGCATTGTCCGAATTAGTGCCCCCCGGACATCCACCATGCCTCGCAAAAACTCATGCAACCTTGTATATGTCAAGAGTAAAAAACTTTTTTTTACTTTTAGAACTTTTTTATAACTATAAATGTGAATACAAAAACATATAAAATACTAATTAAAACAAAATCTAGTATTAACCGCATAGTCAAAATGCCAATTTCACAATGGGAAGGAGAGTTCAAAATAGAGGAAAAAGAAATTTGTTTTTGAATTTTTTAAATTTCGGACATCCGGATTGCTAAAAAACCCCCTCCCCCCCTATGTCCGAGTTCGTCCTCATTTTCCAAACACCCCTCTCCCCCCCTCGGCTCGGACATCCTTTGTGAATGGCCCCTTACCAGAATTGTAGTCCCCCTTTTCATCTGGGAAAATCTCAGGTCCCCCCCCAGTTTCTCACCCATCCCCCCCACAATAATGAATGCCCCCTTATTAATGTAATTAAATTCTGTCAATACAATTTTCAGTGATTATAAATACTTGTTGTCATAAATACTAAATTACAGTACACTGTACGTATTATGTAAATTATGTAAATATATCAAATTTATTAAAATTTTCATTTATTATTAACATTTTGTGGTTTCTATTTCCACACCTAGAGCTCAAATCACTGTTAGTAATACTTGACCTCTGAAAATATGTTTAATGTAGTGATGAATACTGGATTGGTTCTGAGAAAATTATGGGTCAAATATAAATTTACTTTTTAAAAACAAGTACATTTTTAAAAATGTTCCCCAAAAATGCCTGAATTGCTATCATTGCCTCAGTTCAACTATTTCAACAAATCTAGTATATGTCATCAAGAGTGTTTCATTTTCTTTACAAAACTAGTAGTGTTACTTAATTTAAGCACATCTTTTGATCGATCCCTGCTGATTAGCAGAGGTTGGTACAAAACCTCCAATTTTCAGACCTTGAGGATTGCAGCATTGAAGTATAATTTCATGACCATATGCACATGCAATATTCCACCAATGCATCAGATTCCTCAAATTTGCCACTGACAATACCTCTCCCTTAATTTAAGAGAACACTTCTTGGTCTAAAAAAACATAAAGCAGTTTAATTATTATCTAAAAACTACATATTAATCTAATGAAGCAGACCATGTATTCTGTATGAGAAAAATATAGAATTGAGAGGTAATGTCTATTCTTGTGCAAATATTCCTATGTTGACCATGCACCAACTATTACATGCAGTAACTGCATGTTTGGTGAGAAAAGGGTTTTACATGGCAATGCTGATGTACATCACTAAATGTTGAAGGGTTTTTGTAGATCGATGAAAATTTTGAGTGTAAATTTTGTACATTTTTAGACCTGGTTAAAGCAGCTGCAAAATTGACACTTAAGATATTCGTCTAGTGACGCTACCTGACATTCTGACATTTACCCTTATACCTTACAGCTCGACACAGTAGCTGATCAGTATAAATTGGTTTGAACACTGCAACAGAATCACTGATGGCTGCAGGTTTATTCCTATCTTAAAGGTCTACATACAATGCTGCTTAGGAATGCTTTCATTAAACTGTTTTAAAAGTTGCATTGTACCTTAGACTAGTGCACCCTATTTTATATAAATTGATAAACAAACAATTTTACTTGTTGAGGGGAGAGCACTGGTGCTTAAAGAGTTTATAATCAGGTGTGTAACGACACAAAAAGTGTCCCCAATCAGTATTTTATAGGTAGACAGAAACTACCTTCCTGGATAAGCTAGCTTCCAGTACCTCCAGTAACTTATACAAAAGTTGATGCATATTTTAAAAACACAAACCACAAACCCTACAAACACATAGTTTCGTCAAGTGTACGTTTACAAAAGTAATAAAACGAGACCTCAGGTCTCTGCAGTCAACCTTTTTAACATTATTACACAAGATAGTTTGCACTTTAGTGAGTTTAGACAGTATATATCGTACAAATTTGTGAATATCAAATCTGTGTTGTTTACATGCATAGAACTAAATATTTGTGAATACAGCTTGTGAAAATAATGGGAAATTTTACACCTTACAATATGAAATTTGGACTGTAGAAAGCTGAAAGCTTGTTTTCTTAACAAATGAAGTGTATTTCATCGTTAGGCTTACCAATTTCATGTCAAATAAGATAAAGAATGAGTAAAATTGACTAGACATCTCCTACCTTTTACCCGACTCAAGTATCGTCTTTAATATGAGAGCCCAACATATAACTTTTAACAAAGCCATTAAAACAGTTTTAAAAGATTGTAAAGAATTTTAATTGTAACGTTTCGTCTTTAACTTAAGACATCTTCAGACTAGATAAAATTAGTTTAGAATGCGCTGTAGTTGCTTGCGCGGAGAGTGTTCGTATCCGAGCGTGCTTCGCGTTGATTTCGTCTTTCAGTAACTTGTTTTGACATTGTCTATAGGCGCTAGATGTTCGCAATCTGCGATTTGCAACCTTGAACCAGAGAAATCGTGGTATTACCGAGCGCTTTTTACACGTTGAGAGGAATTCCAAGTCGAGTTTGGCTTTACCAAGCTTGAGTTCCAGACGTTGGAATTTCCTGAACGCTTCAAGTGCGCCGTTGTTGTAGCGATTATTCAATATCGTTGCCAGAGATTAGCCAGGCGGAAAACGAATTCGTATAATAAATATGAGAGCCCAACATATAACTTTTAACAAAGCCATTAAAACAGTTTTAAAAGAGAAGATGTCTTAAGTTAAAGACGAAACGCTACAATTAAAATTCTTTACAATCTTTTAAAACTGTTTTAATGGCTTTGTTAAAAGTTATATGTTGGGCTCTCATATTTATTATACGAATTCGTTTTCCGCCTGGCAAATCTCTGGCAACGATATAGAATAATCGTCTTTAATACTCTTTTCCCACATTTCTCGAGGTTTTGTTTAGGTTTCGCGGGCGAGATTAACACGTACGACTTGCATACCTTTAACCAAATGGTCAAAGGTAGCAAATATATCTCAACATTTAAACAAAAGATTTAAAACAACGAGAACCATAAATATTTATCTGCAAAAACCAAATCTTTTGCAAAAACCAGGGGGGGGGGGGGTGAAAACGGCCGGGGGCTCAGAATTAAGCCTGGTCAGTGGTAACTACCATGAGGTTTTCGGACCAGTTGCCATGGAAATGGCGTCAAAATCCGCCATGTTTTTGGCGACACTTTTTTGACTGACGAGAGATAGGAGCAGGTCCTCCAGTTATTATACAGCTCAGTGGGTGTATTTGTGGGGAGTGTATCTAAAAGTCGAGGGTCGAGAGTCGAGAGTAAAGGTCGAGAGTCGAGAGTAAAAAGTCGAGAGTAAAAAGTGGAGAGTCGATCGAGAGTAAAAAGTCGAAAGTCGGCAAATGTCATCAGAAACAACAAAGTCAAAATATTTTTAACCACGTTTAACCGGCACAATCTATATATAGCTTTACATAGCCATTCCGTAACAAGTACCAACGGCTGAAATACAAACTTTCCAATAAATATTGCTACAACAGTCAATAATAATAACGTGAACAAAAAAGATTGGATAAGAAAACAATATCGCATTTGATGCCTCAGTCCCGCTAAATGTTTTCATATTTCATTCTGACACATAAACTCCGCTGAATTTTGACAGCCCATCTCCAGGCTTGTAACTAAAATGTCACTTATTCATTAACGTACGTTTATATCAAACGAGAGCGTTTTAAGAAATCCACGTTGATCACATCTAATGATTCATACAATTGTGAATTCATAAATACGAGCCAGTAAAAATAGGTTCTTTTGTCGTATGTGTGACTCTATCGGGTGGTAATATGTCTCGCACGTGATTGTAAAGTCCTAGTATTTTAATATATGTAGCTTCACATATGAGTAATTTTTTGCGGAAATAGGTGCATGTAAAAGCGGGAAGGATGGACAGTAATGTATAAGGAAGTAATAAAAGCTAGTTATTAGATAATAGTTATTATTATTGAATGTTGTGGCTAAATTTTTGCGAAAGTTTTTGTTTTATATTATACTGGATTATTCCTTTGATTGTATATGCCTCTTGTTTACTTTAATTTCGAGAATTTGAGCATACTAAATTATGTTTCGCAAATATTGTATTTTGTGGTTCCGATACACAGGAAATGAAATTAGTTCAGCCGTCATAGGGCGTACGGGCGGGAAAAATCAGGGAGCCAGAAAGAAATTTACCCGACTTTTACCCACTGAATAAAATTTTCCGTGTAACTAAATTTCCAAAATTGTCGTTGGGAAGTAGACAAAAATATTTTCCTATTTGTCGATTCCTCGTTTCTTTTACATATTTCTGGCATTTTCAAATTTTAAATTTATTCCCCCCCCCCAATTTTTGCCCGAATTTATACGTTTATAATTTGCAAGACTTTAATTTGACTGGGGGCGGGACTGCCTCCCCCCCCCCGCCCGTACGGCTATAATCAGCTGTTGTTACGGATCGGTTATATATTGTGTTAAAAATATTTTGACTTTGTTGTTTCTGATGACATTTGCCGACTCTCGACTTTTTACTCTCGATCGACTCTCGACTTTTTACTCTCGACTTTTTACTCTCGATCGACTCTCGACTTTTTACTCTCGACTCTCGACTTTTTACTCACCACATTTCAGGGTACACTATATTTCTCGATAATGCTCACAATTTCTTTCTTATTATATAGTTTTGCAGTTCTGACTGTGTACAATCTTATTAAGCCCCGTTTACACTACGCTCAGTTTTTGGTACGGCACGGATAAAATTGGTACCCGTACCACTTTCTTGGTTCTTGGACTACCTATTTATCAAAAATTAAGCGTAGTGTAAACGGGGCTTAGCTAAATAGGTAGTCAAAGAACCAAAAAAGTGGTACGGGTACCAATTTTATCCGTGCCGTACCAAAAATTGAGCGTAGTGTAAACGGGGCTTTAGGGACTGGTCATAAAGTAACTGCTAGGGTGGGCTGGAGGTAAATCACAAATTTTGCCAATAAGTTTGGTGACCCATCTTAGGATGTAGATAAAAATTTCAAAGCCCATCCAATCTTACCAAATTGATTTCATGACCCACCCACCCAATCTAAATTGGGAAAGTACACTTTTATTATGAAAAAAACTTGTAGGTATGAACATATATCAATACAGTGCCGGTGTATATCTTTATTTTTGTATCTGCGAAACAGATTACTATTAACGTTACCCATAGCCATTCAGCGACGAGTTTATATAATTAAGCCAATCAGCGATTAGCTTACATCAATTGTTTACATCGTGCTCGCACCTAACCTGCGAACGGGCGTAGTTTGGCCTGGTGTAACGGTGTAAGTCATGTACTCGTGTTATTCTTTGCCATATTTTGGCTTCAAAAATATCTTGATTTTATCTTGAATTGGCTGACCGTTCTACTTGTGATATTATTCCAAAGTTATCTATCAACATGGAAACTTATCCTTATCTGGTAAGTAGCCAAATACCACATAACCCAAAAAAAGTACTCCGGTTTGATTCGTAATAACTTCTAAACAAGTAAAGATTTTAATGAGAAATAACTTGCATCAAATAGAGGAATGACTAACTTAGATTTTGATATATTACAGTTGTATTTCACTAAAAAATTCACAGAGATATTAATGTTTAAAATCGGCAGCATATTTCTGGATGTGTCTGAAATATGCAAAAAACGGCGTATCAAATATTAATCAAGATTTGCCCAACTGAAACATGCACTATTACCAGTAAATAAATGACACTTGACAAATCGTTTATTATGAAACAAAGTATTATTATCTACAAAATAAAAGCAAGATTTATTCGTCCGAAATCCGCATGTGTTTCCAGCACGAATACGTTTCCTTATTTCATGAGCCAACTGCATCGCGAAGGATCGTCATGGATCGTTCGTAGTTCTGAATGAGCTTATTTAGCTAGGGCATGCTGTCACAATGGAATTGTGAATTTTCTAACTTCACATTGAATGAATTTTCTAACTTCTGCAACGTTCTGAAATCGTGTTAAGAACACCCAAACTCTTTTGCCTTTCTTAATCTTGGCAAGTTCAGAATAAACTGAGAATGAAACACGATAACCATACAACTCCATAATTAAAGACATAACAAGCAACTCCCCAGAGACATCCAACATTTTTGGAACAAAACGTAACAAAATAGTAGCGTTTATATATACTGTGCATGATGTGTATTTGCAAGAAGCAATATTATTTCCTTTATTAAATAATAATATTCATCCTGCTCTAACCGAGAAATAATCAACTTTGTTTTGAACCCATGTAAAACATAAAAAAATTAGGCTATTTAAGAAAAATTTAAGCGCCTACCTTCAAGGTCTTTCATGTACCTTTAAGTTTGCAAAGCCAAAGACCTATTAAATAATGACCGAGACACTTCTGTGGGGGTCTGGGTCTGACGCTATTTCCTGCATTCTGGGAGCAGTTCAAACGAAATATCAATTTCATAAACAGTGACACAATGACTATAACTTATACTGTAGTTTTCCCCCAATCCTGAGGCTAAGAATTACAAATATTTTTGGTCGAACATCATTGATCAGGTGCATAATAAAAAAGGGTTTGTGCTCAATTGTTGTAATATTTGGGCGCTGGCCCGCACTTTTGTTGTTGGGGTATTTGTGCACCCATACAGCCTCCCATTTCTTACGTCACTGTAGGGCAAGAATAATGCTTCTTTACATAGAGAGAACTATACAGTCTGTCATTGAACTCAAACTCGATTGACTCGTATACCTAGTTTTGGGCCTGACTGTAAGCAACAATTGGAAACATCGTCTAGTCAGTGGAAACAATTTTTCGCTCCGTGATTTCAGATAAACCAGTGCGTCGTTCACTGATCGAATTTCTTGATTGCAGTAGGCACATAAAACTCTTTGGTAACAAAATGCATATGCATATCGTGTTACATATGAACATACTTCCTAATATAACTCGGCTAGAAATTCGTTTTTGCACTTTACATCTTAAAAATATAGTTTAGGGACCGGAGAAATATAATTGTAACTAATGTTAGCTATTTTGATCGAGATTCATCGCATTTTGGAGTCTGATTTGGGGGGTTTGAAACTTTCGCTAATATAGAATGTCACCCTGAATGACCTTGCAGAACCTAAATTCCAAATAAAAGTGCCAACACGTAATCGTGACATATAGATATCTCCATGTTTGGAAAGTAAATGGAAACTTCATCCCTTTGCGCGTGTTTTGAATGATAATTCGTTCATAAACTCGCGAAATAACTCGAAATAAGTACGTAATATTTCTTCATATTACTTCTGAGCTGTTTGAACCACTTCCACACACCCCCACATTTACGCCCCTGAATATACGTTTATATGTACATATATAAATACTATTTTTACATTCATACTAGGACAGTTAACGTTTTAAATGTTGAAGTTAATCATCTGAATATGGTTTTGGCATTTTCTTGATTCTCAAATATCGTGAAAACAACGTATTATAGTATTGCACTCCTTGTGTCATGCAATAAAGTATGAATCTATAATTTTTTTCAAGTCGAGTTAATGTATTCCATATATATGTGGTCACGTGTCGGATATATACCTATTTCACTATTTGAAGGGGACAACCTTTTTGACATATATATATATATATATATATATATATATATATATATATATATATATATATATATATATATATATATAT